GGAAGGGCAAAATGTGTTGGCGCAGGCTTGGAGGGCCAAAGGGCCTGTTCCTGTGTTGTTTTGTTCTTTGTTCTTTACATTCCCTCCAAACCCCAGCATCAATTTCCCCAACCTCATTGATGCAGATGTATCTCCTGCTAAACCTGATTTGACTTTAATTCAGGTGATCAATATGACTGACCAGTCCCCAATTTCCTGGCAGGCTTGGGCCGACAGCTCCAACTGCTGACTGACTGATCAGTATGTAGCTCCCTAACTGACAGCATGAATTTTCTGACTGTTTGTACTCAACCTGCTGGACTGAAGTTGGTTTGGCCTCATGGGTGCCAAGTAAAATGTGCAACACACAATTGCCAGGCTATGACCATCTCCAACAAGAGTGAATCTTACCATCACCCATTCACATTTAATGAAATTACTGTTGCTCAATCCCCCACTATCAATATACTAGGGGGTAAGCATTGAACAGAAATTGTACTGGTCTAGCTATATAAATACTGTAACCACAAGAGCAAGTCAGAGGCTAGGAATACTGCAGCAAGTAAATCATATCCTGACTCTCAAAGCCTGCCTACCATTTACAAGGCACAAGTCAAAAAAGTGATGGACTTCTTACCATTTGCCTGAATGTTACAGCTCTAACAACACTGAACAAGCTTGACACAATACAGGATAAAGCAGCCTGTTTGATTGGTACCCCATCCACAAAAATTCACTCCTTCCACCACAGACACTCAGTAGTAGCAGTGTGAACTATCTCCAAGATGCACTGTGGAAATTCACTGAGAATCCGTGACACCTCTTTCCAAGCCCATGACCGTTACCATATGGAAGGACAAAGGCTGCAGATATAAGGGAACACAACCACTGACAAGTTCCCATCCCAGCTGACTTGGAAATATATATCCATTCCTTCACTTTCGCTGGGGCAACATCCTGGCACTTCCTTCCTAATGGCAGAGTGAGTCTACTGTGGCAAATGGAATACAGTTCAAGAGGGCAGCCCATTACCACTGTTAGCTCTTATCTTGTGACTTGCCTTTTGTGAAGTACTTTACCGAACACCTTCTGGAAGTCCAAATACAACATGTCTACTAGTTCTCCTCTATCAATTCTGATTGAGATTCTCAAAACTCTAATGAATTAATCAGACATGATTTCCCTTTCATGAAGCCATGCTGACACTTACATCTCAAGGGCAACTAAAGATGGGCAACAAATGCTGGGCTAGCCAATGATGCCTACGTCAAATAAATGACTAAAATAAAATTCAAATCATTTACAGAGATCGTGAACAGCTCTAGAACCAGCACTGATCCTTGCGGTACCCCAGTAGCAATAGTCTGCCATCGTGAGAATCATCCATTTGTTCCTATTCCCTGCTTTCTGACTGTTGACCAATTCCCAGGTCATACTCGTGTATTTCCGCAATCACATGCATTCTATTGATCATTACTCTGATTAATGTTCTTTTGCTTCTTCTGAATTCTACATTTTCCATCCTATATTCTTCTCCCCTTCAAAATTCCTGCCAAGTTAAAATTAAGGTTAAATCGGTCATCACAAATCTAATTCCCTATTACAACTTCAAAAGTGTGGAGGTTCTTTCTCTCAAAAGTATTTCTATTTTCCTGCAATCTTCAATTTACTAAATTCAAACTAATAATCACCTATTTTAAGATCACTTTTGCTCTTCCAACCATAATGATGCCTTGTACTGTAGGCCTTTATCCTTGCCTTGATCTTTCAGCTACGACAACACAAAAATATAAACATCTTCATTCTGCATTTACCTATTATCTTCATGTTCCTCAGACAAGACAACAAGAATTCACCGTCTCCTACACAAGGCCATTAGCAGCCCAGTACTGGACAATCTTTGATGCTTCTTTGCAGTCACATTGATATTAGTGATTTGAACATGATATATTTTCAATGGACCATATCTCACAATCTAGCAGGCCTGGTTTCTTCAGCCTAGCCCCAGTATCTTCAGGTATCAGATGCTTATATTGTTAGTGAATTAGAAATGACAGAGGTGTTAAACAGACATTTTGTATCAGACTTTACAGTGGAAGTTACTTCAAACATCCCATTAATGCAAAAGAAAATGGGGGAGGAATTAAGTAGCATCACTAAAGAAATAAAGTTGCCATAGTCTTACCAGACTAAGGCTGTTCTCTAATGAGAGAGAGGACTGGTGATGGTTTAACCTGAGGCTTGCCATACTTCAGGCAAGGGATGAGGATGTGAAAGAGAGTCCCTCATGGTAACCTCAGCCAGTGTAGGAATTGAACCTATTGGAATTACTCTGGATTGAAAACCAGTTGTTCAGCCAACTGAGTTAACTGACCCCTATTGTTAGACAAAATTAATACAGCTAAAGGTAGATACATCTCCTGCCCCTGATGGCTTACATCCTAGGATCCTGAAAGAGATAGCTACAGAGATAGTGAATGCATTGATTGTAATTTTCCAAAAATCTTTGAATTTTAGTGAAGTACCAGAGGATTGGAAAACTGCCAATGTGACACCCTTTTCAAAAAGGGGTGGGGGGGAGGCAAAAAGTAGGTAACTATAGGCTGATTAGCCTAACATCAATTGTTGGAAAAGTATTGGAATCAATTATTAATGCTATAATAGCAGAATATTGGAAAATCATAATCGAATCAAACAAAGTTAGCATGGCTTCATGAAAAGGAATTCATGTCTGATTAATTTATTAAAATTTCTGAAGGAAGTCTCAACTAGAGTTGATAGTAGAGAACTGGTAAATATGTTATATTTTAACTTCCGGAAGGAGTTCAACAAGGTACCTCACAAAAGACAAGTTACAAGAGATAAGAGCTAACACTGCTGGAAGTAATATGTTGGCGTGGGTACAGAATTAGTTAATGGGCAGGAAACAGTGAGTGGGGATAAGGGGTTGTTTTCCAGTTTGGTGACCTGTGACCAGAAGAGTTCCGCACAGACCAGTGCTGAGATGACAACTGTTTACAATATATGTTTATCATTTAGAGGAAGGAAGTGAATGCATTGTAGCCAAATTTGCAGATGACACAAAAGTAAGTAGAAAGGTAGGTTGCGAAAGGGACACAAACAGTTTACAGAGAGATATTGATAGGTTAAGTGAGTGGACAAAATGTTGGCAAATTCAATTTGGAAGGGACAGCAAGAAAAAACAAAATATTATTTAAATGGAGTATAACTGCAGAAAGCTGGAATACAAAGAGACTTAGAGATAGCTGCACATGAAACACAGAAAGCTAGGACGCAGATGCAACAGGTAATCAGGAAGGTTAATGGAAAGTTGGCCCTTATTTCAAGGCAGCTGAAATATATGAGTAGGGAAGTCTTACTGCAAATATACAGGGTGCTGGTAAGACCATATCTGCAATACTGTGAACAATTTTATCTCCTTATTTAAGGGAAGATATCGTTTCATTGGAGGCAGTTCAGGGAAAGTTCACTAGGATGACTTAGAAGCAAATTACTGCAGATGCTGGAATCAGTACTGAAAACAAAAATTGCTGGAAATTGCAGTGGGTCAGAGCTGATGTCAAGTCATCGAGGCTCGAAACATTAGCTTGGTCTCTCTCCACAGATGCTGCCTGATCCGTAGAGATTTCTAGCATTTTTTGTTTTCACTAGGATTATCCCTGGTATGGAGGGATTTTTGTAAGAGTAAAGGCTAAACAGGCTGAGACTGTACTCACTGGAATTTAGAAGAATGAGGGGTGATCTCATTGAAACATATCAGATTCTTAGGGGACTTGACAGAATAAATGCTGAGACAATATTTCCCCTTATGGGAGAGTCTAGGACCAGAGGACACAGTCTCAGAATAAAGGAGCACAAATTTAGGACTGAGGTGTGTGAATCTTTGGAACTTATTGCCAAAGACAGCTGTTGGGGCAGAGTCCTTGTGTATATTTAAGGCTGTGATAGATAGATTCTTGATCAGTACGGGAATTAAGGGTAAGGGAAAAAGGCAGGAAAACGGACATGATGAATGTCAGATCAGCTATTATCCTATTGAAAGGTGGAGCAGGCTTGAGAGGCCAAATGGCCTGCTCCTGTTTCTATTTGTTATAGTCTTACAGTCTTATGATGTAACTAATAGCATTGCCTTCTTTGACTCCCACTCTTTGTTGTTTTGAGCACACAGTAAGTCTAAACTTTGGGTTTTTCTATTACTATTTTCCATTACTTTTTAAAATAGTACTGTTCCTTACCATAACTCAGCAAATGTAAGTAATAGACTTTAATAATGGTCCTCCCATTCATTCCATCTTTAACATAAATACTTTATGTCTAGTTGTACTTTACAGATACAAGAAAACATTTATTTGGAATTGTTTCTATGTTAACAAGTACAATGAACAGATAATACATCTTACACAATGAAAAGATTGGTACAGGTTTCTCCAGAAGTAGTTAAGTAAACTAAACAAAATTTCCTGGCATTTTCACAACACTCCCTTTATCTCGTTGATGATAAATACATCTCATAATTACAATTTGAAGCTGATTAATAATAGCAGGTACCAAATACTTGTTTTCCACTTCCTTTCCAATTTGTGGCATTGTTTATATCACAGTCTTACTTTGGACAGTTGTATACATTGGACAGTTTACATTGCCTCAGGCTGCCTCCTTTACAGAACTCCAACTGTTTTTGTTACCCTAACAAAACTAATAAGGGGAACAGAAAAATAAAGCAAATGTTTTCTCATATTCCTCCTGCCTTTAATACTTCTTCCCTTGGTCTAGCAGTTTGATCACATCAGCACTATGTGAGCATTTATACAGTGCATAAACCAGTGAAGCAGATCAAAAACAGTATTGATGTATATGGAGAGAATTGGGTTTTGCCAAAATGTGCATCTCTGTTCGTAAATTTAATCTTCTTAAAGTACTTTACTGAATGAGTTATATCTGGATTAAAACAAATATTCCCTGTACTGCATCCCAATTTATTATTTTTGAGGATGGAGCAGGCATGATAAAAAAAATGCACGTCTGGTAACAAAACCCTTTACCATGACAAAATACTTTTGGTACAGTGTTTATGGTCTTTACACTTCTGAACCAATTAACTTCGCACCGTGTCTGTATTTTGCACAGATGCTTGCAACTGTCTTGTGATTTGGGGCTTAATGAAGTTACAGTCAGACAGTGCTTTTGTTGTCAAATTTCAAAGTTCTGCTTAAAAAACATTTGTATAGAATAAGTTCTGCCTCATGTGCACTTTGCTCTCAAAAAACAGCAGGAGATTTAAAAGATCACTGTTCAAATAACATAAACTGTAAAAATGAAGGTGACTGCAGTTCATACAGAAAGGTAGATTAATGTAGTTTGCAGCATTGGTTGTTCAAACTTAACCACAAGTTTCTGCTGGTGGACAGTTCAGGAGACTTTGCCATGACATTGTACAGTAAGGGTAGTTTTGCACTCAGAGCTCAAGCCAGTTCTATGATGATGAGCCCAAGTCCCGGGGAAGGTTCAGTTGTATTGCCTCAGCGCCAGCTGTATACTTGGCTCCGGGATTGTTGGCATCCATTGTAAATAGTTTGCATGTCTTTGAGTTTTCATGGACTGGGGTGGATTTCTTAGAAGACACTGGTGAGTTTGTGGGGCTGAGCTGGACTGCAGTCGTGTCTTGCACTGTATGCTCACTGGTCTCAATCTCAAATGTGGCATGGCCTGGCTTAATGATGCCAATGTTGGATCCAGGTTTGGACTTCCTCTGGCCGTGAGCTGGAGGTCTCCGACTGCAGATGCAACAGGCTGCGAAGAAGGCGAAGGCAACCACCAGCAAGATGGGCCCAATGATGATAGGGGGATTGTTCACTGGTAAGAAGGTACCAAATGCAAAGGCTCCTACAAGAGTTATGTTAATTCCTGCCAACATGATGCAGAGGCCACAGGCACAACAAAGAGCTGGAGATGGAAGACCCTGAGGCCTTGTCTTCTTCTGTCCAGGCTTCTGAGGTACGGCAGTGTTAGTCTTCTCAGTGAACATCATACTTTTGATTGTGAGTGTGCTAAACCATTCCCACTCCAAGTCACACGTTAAAATGGCGTTTAATTGCCTTAGCTGTGAAAACAGAAAGCATATGCATCAGCTAATTAACAGATCCAGGCTCATCTGAACTGAAAGCTGTTCAATTTACAATCATCGGAAACAGGGTACATTCTGTCAACCCCCCATGTTTATTAAGTATACTTATAAAAACTTAGATATGATCAAAAATAAAGTTCTTTGATGCACATTGAAAAAGAAAGTAAATATAAATGTTGGAAGAAAAGTAATTGAAGAATAGTGACAGAAAGATGAATTGATTAATAAGAAGATTTAAGCTCAGGGAATGTGTGGTGAAAGACCAAATTCCCAAAATCGTGAACTACAGCATGATACGTGTGATAGGCCGTGGAGAATCACTAATTAATCTCTCTGTGGAACTCAGTATGAGTTCCTTTGGTAACGGGTAATGGCCTGCCCAGTAGGATCTCATCACCTGAGCCCTTTGAAAAGCAGACCCTTTGGTCATTTCTGCCAGCTCTCTGCCCCGCTTCCACAATTACATTCAAGCCCGGATGTCATTAGAGAGTGTGCACATGGTTTCCATCAATTCTTGAAGCCTTTAGAATGAGGTGGCCACCACAGCTGATACAGTACTTTATTTCTCCCTTCAACTCCATTTTGACTTAGTGGCCTCCCTTTCACCCCACTACCCCCACCCTCTCAGTTTTTGATGGTAGCATTGGCCTTAACAGGCTTTGCTTGCAAATATTCAATTGGCCACATGGGTGTTTTCCTGGTCATAGAAAGAAAAGGAAAAAGTACAATAATAAACTTTATTCATAAAAATGTCTTAATTTTCTGTCTCACTGTAAAAAGCAAAATAATAAATTGACCAGGGGTAATTTGGAGAAAAAGATTAAAACAGACATATGGACCCTCTTGTGGTGTCCCCACCTCTCAACCAGGAAGCCTGGGTTCAAGTCCCACCTGCTCCATTGGTGTATAATAATATCTCTGAACAGGATTAAAAAAGAATAGAATTAATCACAAGTGATTTGGGAAAGAATAAACAAAGCAGACCCATGGTCCCTAAAATAAAGGAAAGGCAGATGCCTCCCTAGCTTCTCTTCAGTTTTGCTGGTTTGCATGGGCTTTGCATATAACTTTCTATTTGGCAACATGGGTGATTTACTGGTGGTAGTTAATCATTAGAAAAGAACACCTCCAGATATAAAGAGAAAAAAGCAGACCCATTTTAGAGAGAACTGTTCTCTGCAGGAGTTAGAGTGCTTTATCTCCCCATCCAACTCCTTGGTAAAAGAAAATTTGGCTGTGTGTGATAGCACTTCCAGGTATTAAAAAATGGACCCTATCCATTTTGATTTTGTCCCTTCCCGCTCTCCCTACCTCCCCCTCATCTTCTCATGGTTTACATTGTTCTAAAGGGCTTTGCATGTAAATATTCAATTAGCTACATGGTTGATTTACTGGTGATGTTTACTAGTTAAACAAAAATCAGGAAACAAATAAAGGAAGGGTCACCGGACCCGAAACATTAACTCTGTTTTTTCCTTCACAGATGCTGCCAGACCAGTTGAGCTTTTCTAGCAACTTGGTTTTGTTATTAAATTGGCCACATTGGTAATTTACTGATGGGGGACAAAAAGATAAAGCAGGCCCAGGCGTGAGTCTACAGACCTACCTGTCCCATTCTGGGACGAGCCTATGTATGCTACGACTAGTGGCTCCATTTTGGCATTCAACAATAAATTATGTTCCTTTTTCTGTTCGGGCTTCCTGAGTCATCACATTGGCAATGAGAGTCAAGAAAAGCTTTCGACCCAGTAGGATAGTGTTGGAAATTGGAACCTTCTGACATGGGTGAGAAGGATTAGCACATGTACGCCAAAATGAGATACTATTTTTTGGGCAAATGGGGTAGAAATGGTTCTCTGACAAAAATTCATTCTCCTGACCACTTGTGGAGCCCCAACTTTCAGCATTGTAAAAGGTTTAACCTACCCTGCAACTCTGTAGTCAAAATCATCTGGCAAACTCATAAATAGGGTAGCAGACAATTATGACCATCCGTTATATTGCCGGTTTAAAACAGCAAATAGATGTCCTGGGGAACCAGTCACTGAATTCTTGATGAGACTGTGGAAATTGGTGGAACACTGAGAGTGTGGGTCAGCACTTCAGGAAAGATTAAGCGATTGGTTAGTTTGTGGAATTAATAATATTGCAACCCAAAGAAAGTTACTGACTGAACCAGATCTGGACTGCAACAAAGCCATAGAACTGGCCCTTTCCCACAAAAATGCACAGCAAAGTCTGAAAAGAATCAGGATCCATAGACAGTACCATCCTCAGCCTTGAGTATTCCTTTACCAGAGAGCTGAGTTCCCAGCAGATAATTCTCGAGGCTCCTGTTGGTTGTTAAGGAAGTGGATTGGAGTCGGAGGCTGCAAGTTTCCAGACTGGGTGAAAAGTTTATCCGCAATACTGTGAGGAGCAAGACTGTCTATGCCGCACTCATAGTCACAGGATTCACTCCAGACAAGGCTATGGAAACAGGCGAAACGCGTATCTCCCAGGACAAAGGGCAAAGTCACCTCAAGACAGAGCTTTGCAAATAAATCAGCCTGAGGATGAGGAATTGATACAGCTAAATTACATCACAGCTCCCAAAGTGGTCCCAACTAACACTAAACTTCAGACAAATGGTCATCCGCTAGACATGGAGGTAGACACCACAGATTGCTGCATCTATTGTTGAGGAGCAAACCTTTCGGAAACTCTGGAGGATCTTGCCATTAAGCCTGCTAGATTGGTCACGTGCACTGGGGAACCCTTATGTATTATCGGATCATTGCAATCCCAGTTATGCAGGGGCAACAGACAGTCCTACTCACTTTAATGGTGGTGCAAGAGCCAGGTCTCAACCTTTTAGGAAAGGACTGGCTGCAGAAAATCCACTTAGATTGGTAGGAGGTCTTTAAAAGGGGTGGTGGAAATCTATATGAAGTCATTGGGAAGTATCCCAAAGTGTTCCAAGAGGGCCTCAAAAAGATAAAAAGGTGCCAGGGCCAAATCTATGTAGAGCCAGAGGCCTGATCTAAATACTTCAAAACATGATCAGCCCCCAATACACTATGTGCCAAAGTAGGGGCTGAATTGGAACTTCTAGAGGAACTTGGCATCATATGCCGGGTGCAATTTGCTGAATGGGCCATGCCAATAGTTCCAGTTTTAAAACCTGATCCATCTCTGTGGGGTCATGAGTTGACAGATTTTGCTGCTTAGACATATACCTTTTGCAATGCATAGAAGACTTGAGTGAAAAGCTGGGTGGGGGTCATATATTTTCTAAGTTGAATATGAGTTATGCCTGGATCTTGAGGTGCCTTCCAAGAAGTATGTTACCATAAATACACTCAAAGGACTGTGTGAGTACCCTCACTTGTCCTTTGGAGTATCTTTGGCTTGCACCATCTTTCAAAGTATAATGGAGAGCATCCTCCAAGTATTAACATGTCATTTGGATTTGAATGATGTGATAATATCTATGCTTATAATAAAATTGTATATCAGTAACCTTAATCATTACATTGAACCCAAACTTCCATGGGGTTTGGGGTGAGAGGAAGGGTCAGTGGAGGTGAACTCTGCTGGTCTATCTCTGTAGATCCCCCAGGGAAACAAGAGAGATCAAGGTGCATCCATCATTGAGGTCAATGCTTGTTCAAAGGACCTGAGCTGAAACGTCAACTTTCCTACTCCTCTGATGCTGCCTGATCTGCTGTGTTCCTCCAGCTCCCACTCAGCTCCGCTGCCGAAATGAAGAACTTACCTTCCCGGCAGCCCTCTGGTCCTCGCTCTCACCGCTCCCGCTGCTGCTGCAAAAATTGAGGCGAGGTCCTGGAGGACTGGAGAATTGCTAATGTTGTCCCCTTGTTTAAGAAGCGTAGCAAGGATAATCCAGGTAATTATAGACCGGTGAGCCTTACGTCAGTGGTGGGGCAGCTGGCGGAGAAAATACTGAGGGATAGGATCCATTTACATTTGGAAGAAAATGGGCTTATTAGTGATAGGCAGCATGGTTTTGTGCAGGGAAGGTCAAAGACCTAGATGGGTCTAGGCCCGAAACGTCAGCCTTCCTGCTCCTCTGATGCTGATTGGCCTGCTGTGTTCATCCAGCTCTACACCTTGTTATCTCACAATAGGATATTTAGTGCTATAGTATTGCAATACAGCATAAATTCTGCCTCAGTTCATTGTGTGGCGTTCCCAGTGAATGGATTTTAAGCTTCTCATCCTACTTTACTGGCGAAACTTTTCCAGATGGAAATTTCATTCTACATCCTCATTTTCCATCACTCCAGTGAGCCTTCTTTTCTCATATTTTCTTCACTATACCATCAAAAGTTGATATTTCAGCCATCATGCTCCTACCCTCATCTTCCAAAATCACTTCCCTTTGTGGTCTCTACTGCTGTATTCATATGCTTCCTACAATCTTGTTTATTTGAAAATATATCACTGGGGAATCAGGAACACCACGAATCCTTTTCCTCCCTACAAAGTCCATTTATCATCCTATGTAACGATCACCAGTATTAATTGTAATGAACTGTTCTCTTCCATGAGAAGCACTCGATTTTGTTTTCTGATCTCAGCCAATGCTGCTAGGGAAGGCATCAAGAGAAGGTGGCAGACACAATAAGAAGGCAGGTCATGTCCACAGAATAATGGAAATAAGATCAGATGTCCATTTCAATCTGGCCAGCTCAAGTATGAGATCAATAGGAGCACAAGCACAAATTCCCCATTGACCTATTCAGCTGAGCAAAGCTGCTTGCAGCAGAGAGATTGAAACTAAGGAAATCCAATAACTAAACTAATATAAGTAACTGTATCATATTAGCCCAGGAGCCCAAATAAAGCCTTAGTTAAATCTCAGACTGAACACTGCACCCATTTCAGTCCTCTTGGATGGTAGGTTCTGTAAAACCTTTAGAAAAGGTGCAATGAAAAGTTATAAATATAGCATCCACTTTAATACACATTTG